GCCGACGGACACGGCAACACCGGAATTTTGGTGTTCGTGTGTCGGCTGAGCAAGATGGTACATCTTGCTCCAGTTCCCGTCACTGTGACGGGCGAACAAACCGCAAGATTGTTCGTCGATGGCGTGTTCCGCTATCACGGTCTCCCGGAGACGATTGTCTCGGACCGAGACCCGCGGTTCACTGCTGCGTTTTGGAAAACGCTGTTCCCTTTACTGGGAACTCGTCTGCAGATGTCCACTGCGGATCATCCGCAGACAGACGGCCAAACAGAGCGCGTCAATCGAGTGCTCGAGGACACTCTGCGCAGTGTGTGCGCGGCAGCGCCCCGTACGTGGTCGACGCAGCTTCCAGTTGTTGAGTTTGCGCTCAACAACGCGGTGCACGCGTCCACGGGGTTCACGCCGTTCTACTTGAACGGCTTCCGCCACCCCAGAGTGCCTCTCACTCTTCGAGGAAACACTGACTCCTCTATTCTAAGTGGGGGAGAGGCTCGGAAGGCCCTTTCCTCCCAGGTCTCGGATGTGAGGCCAGTTTCGCTGCGGAAACAGGTGGAATCCTTTATGGATACCAAGCTGAACATTGTCAGCAGGGTCCGCGATGCCATGGCAGCGGCCCAAGATAAACAAAAGGAGTACTCGGACAAACAAGGAAGAGGAAACTTAAGTATATTTGAGATTGGTGACTTAGTGTTACTAGACACGAGGAACCTACCTCTAGACACTGTTAGCTCTGTCGGCAGCAACAAGCTGAAGCACCGCTTCATCGGACCTTTTGCAGTCCTGGCCAGACATGGTGCGTCGTACACCATCGACCTTCCAAAGTCAATGACGACGCACCCGACGTTCTATGTCGGACGTCTTAAGCGGTACTTTGACCCGCAGGGGGTTGCTGACTCGCAGACCCCCCTTGACCCAGCTCCTCGAAGCGAGGGCTGGTCACAGTCGTCGACGAGGGCGTCGGAGCAGGCACCCAAGCCTCGGTCGGGACGGCAAGGCTGCGGTCAAGACCGTACGCCGGAGGGGCTCCATATGAACAAACCACGGCGCCATACGCCGAGTACGCCGGGTACGCACCAAACGCGTACGTCTGGGAGTGTGCCGCAGGCGGCTCCGGACGTGGCAACAGAGCCTCGATCCGTCGGATCATGCGAAAGGCCTCGTCCAGATCGGAAGAAGAGGCCCGGCGATCCACCCGCAGGTGTAGGCTCGCGACCTCTCGCTCCAACAGGTCCAGGCGGCCCGCAATGCGAGCGAGCTCGCCCTGATTCCCTGCCTGGGCGGCAGCATCACCGCCAGTCCCAAGGCCAAGTGCAATCTCAAGCACGAGGACACGTTGACGGAGGCGGTCAACCTCAGGGTCCCGTGTCGGACCCGCAGTCGGAGCACTCGAACGAGAGTGGCTCTCGGGAGGCGCCGAGTACTCGTACTCGTACGAGGGCACCTCCGCCCCTGCTTGACCGGAATGGAGAAGTCCACTTCCACGTGGAGCGGATCCTCCAGGAGCAACGGTGTCGCGGGAAGCGACAGCTCCTTCGTGAAGTGAGGGGTTATGCCCACTCCGAGAACTCGTGGGAGCCGATTGAACGGCTCCTGATTGACTGCCCGAAGCCTGTCGCAATCTGGGAACAGAAGCGGCGGCAGCTTCATAAGTAGTCCGGGGCTTCTTGCCCGAACGGGTACGGATGATGAATACATACCGTACCCGCGCTCATCGTGAGCGCTAGAAGCCGCGCGCTTCAGGATGTCCCTTGTAGCATACGCTTGCTGATCAAGTGG